TCTTTCTCATGACTGGGCCAAAATCCATGGTGGTGGCTGTGTGAGTGTTCAGTCTTCAGTTCCCTGGGTAATTCTTACACATACTGAAGTCTGAGAACCAGTGATGTGGTGGATGCCATGGTCACCCTGGGACCTTTCTGTTTCCTTGGTAGAAATGGGCTCACTGCTTACTCACTCCTGACTTAGCCGTGCCTTTCGTGACTCTTCATTTTCTCCATTCTCTGTTTCTGCCAAATGACACTTTCTTTTTGTAGTAGTTCACATTAATAGCACAGATTAATGGGTTTCATAGGACATTTCCCTTTTTTCTTTTTTTGATTTAATAAGTATTTTTATTAATTCCTTGAAAATGTCATACAATGTATTTTGATCATATTGATCCTCAACTCCTCTGTCTAACCCCTCTTTGGTCCATCCCCACCTTCCTACCCCCCAGCTTTGTGTACTTGTTTTTTCCAGTTTAATAAGCCATCAACTCCGATTTGTCTCCCATCCAAGTGCTAACCAGGCCCATCACAATTTAGTTTCCAAGATCAGATGAGATCAGACACGTTCAGGGTGGCATGGCTATATGCATCAACTCCAATTTGTATTATCCATATACTTCTGGGTGTGGAGTCATCCACTGGAGAATGGTTGATCAAGAAGGAGCCATACCCTTAAAGAAAACCAACTCTTCCCTCCCCCCAAAGCCATAAACTTTCAATAGTTCCTCAGTTAGGAGTGAGCACTTATGACCAACCTCACATTGCATGCTAGAATTTGATTGGCCAATCTTATGGTTGTCTTGTGGAGGCAACCATAGTTGCTGTGGGCTCATGTGTGCAGCAATCCCATTATGTCCAGAAGACGCTGCTTTGCTCCAGTGCTCCCCATTTTGTCTATTTTCAATCTTTCTGCCCCCTTCTTCTGTGATGGTCCCCGAGACTCAGGTAAGGGGTGTGACTTTTTTGTAAATTTTTAAAATAGAATTTTTGTGTATTTCATACAGAACGGCTTTTTAAATATCATTTTTTATTTTTTTAGAAGAAGCATATCATTATAGCTTTAACATGCCCAATAACAGTTTCCAGAGCAAAGACACAGCTCCTTCAAAAGTGGCTATAAAATTTCTAGGTTCGTTGTTGAATCAATACAGTTATACAATATTGAACTCAGTATAAGCCCTGTAAGACATAAAATTGAATGAGTTTTTAACCCTCAAAAAATATCTCCATTTCATCCTAAAATATACTGTTTCTTACAGAAAGACTCATTGTTTTTGCTACTAATACAGATGTTGGCACATGTGTCTCTAATCTGTATGTATCTAATTATTACTAGATAATTGTTTGCACTTGGATCCTTGCTGCCTGTGTATGTTTATAAAGTCATCAGGTAGATTTTAATGGTAATGTTCATCACCTCTACTAATTAACATGACGTAAACTTTTATTCATACAGAACATCTTAATCATGTTTATGTCTTCTCCATTGGCATACTCCCATAGCATCCCCCCCACTGGATTTCATGCATTCTGTCATTTGTTTTAAGGCCTATTGAGTCAAGTTTGTGTCCTCAGATGTCCCTCAGTACAAGTTCATCCACTGAGGTCTAGTCTGCCTAACTGGAGTCCCTCCCTTTAAGAAGATCAGCTCTTCCTCACCCAGCAGTAATCAGCTGCCAACAGTTCTTCAACTAAGATTGGGGTTGTTGTCCATTTCCACTGTTCTATGCTGGGATTTTGTCTGCCTGAGTTTGCATGGGTCTCATGAATGCTGACACAATTGCTGTAGGTTCATATGAGCAAGGTCCCAGGAGCCTGCAAGACTCTGTTTCAATATGATCATGCACCTCCTCCCCTGGCTCTTACTATCTTTCCACTTCCACAATGGTCCCTGAGCCATGGGTGGGTGAAATTTTATATAGGAGTTTGTCCAAGGATCCATACTCTGCAGACTCTTATTCTCTACTCCTTGGACATTTGTCCTTTTGTGTTCGTGACCCTCTGTTTTATGAGGGAGCTTCATTGAGAGTTGAGAGATGCATTAGTGTTCTTTCTACTCCTTGTTCCACTATGTTCTGTGAGCTTTAGGTGTAGAGGTTCCATTGTAGATGTATCACCTAGGGTTGGGCAATTCACAGACAGTCTCTGTGTGTGACCAGTGTGGAACTCTGTTATAGTCTCTGTTTGTTGCAAAGGAAGCTTCATTGATGAGTGGTGACTGGCATACTTGTCTGTAAATATAAAGATCCATATTTAGCATTTAGTAAGAAATTACATTTGTCTAGGAATGTGAGAGCCTTGGAGTTTTCTCTAAATCTGTGAACTCTCCAATGAGGTGTATTTGGCTATGTTTACAGTACTACACATGAGTTCCTTCTCATTGAGTGGCCTTTAAGTCTAATTAGGTAGCTGTTGATTACTCCCAAGACAAAAGTGTTACTATTGAGCTGGGTGTGGTGGCACACACCTTTAATCACAGCACTTGGGAGACAGAGGCAGGTGGATCTCTATGAGTTCAAGGCCAGCCTGGTCTACATAGTGAGTTCCAAGTCAGCTGGGGCTACAGGGAGACTCTGTCTCAAAAAGACCAAAAAAAGTGTCACTACTCCCCCAATATTGTTTGATGTACAAGTCATTGTTGTGGTTATTAGGCCTTGAAGCTGGGGTCGGACCATTGATTGATGGTCTCCCTTAGTAGCTTGCATAGTATTTTCTAAACCTATGAGAGTTAGCCTTCAGGGGAGGTGGCTTCCAGGTCAATTCCAGCTCCATTGCTACAAATCCTGTGTCTGAAGTATGTCCTGTCTTCAGGAGTAGGGTCTTACCTTCAAGTTATGGGAGGCAATCAAGGGCTGTGGCAATAAGCTGTGTAATTTTGGGAGTCTCTGGGACTACCCTAGCTAACAGCTCGAAGGGAGGTTTCTTCTGTCTGGCACTTGTTCTTGTTAAATAGCCTTCAGCTACTCATGCAGATATTTTATATGTAATTTTTCAGTAGGTTTTTGAACTAATATGATTACTTCTGGTTTTAGAGTGTGTTATTTTTCACTCAAACTCTCATTTATTTCTGGTTTGCCTTAAATTTGCAACAGTCTTCCTGTTTCTGCCTCCTGAGTACTAGAATTGGAGGTATGCACCACCATATATGCCCTGACATTTTCATATATGTACAAAACATACTTTGATCATATTCCATAAACAGAGAACTTTCACAAATTCCAGCATGTCTTGTCCATAAAGAGCGAAATATTGTTCTTAAGAAACTGTATCTTTTAGTTGAGCATGTTGTGGTCAGCTAGGTAGCACTGTGTAAAGCAAAGTTCCAAAGTGAGATAGAGGAGCGCTTCAGAGAAATGCATTCCTTCTGGTGCAAAGCAGGAAGAAGGCAAGAATCAGCTCTATCATACTTTGCTGAGGGTTGGCAAGATATGTCATGGGATTTGAAAGCTCTAAATTAAAGAGAAACGTTCAAAGATATTAGATATCTTGTTAGGAAGTCACAAAATCACCTTTCCTTGGAGAGTCACCTCAGAAGCTCATTAGAGTGCAACACTTTGGCAGTGAATATAAGATGCACCACCAGAATCTTATATTCATAGACTGGAGTTAGCTCAGGGAGACATGGTGGTCCCCTAACCCTCCTAGCTTGAGATGGGTCTGAAGATATCCCAGGGAAACTAGTGTCAGGAAGTACTGCTGTAACAAGGGTTAGAGGGAAGAGAGAGACTCTTAGAAGTAAGAATAAGACACAGTAGAACTTAGTGTGACCCTCATTTCGATCCTAATGCTATGATTATGGGAATATACTGTATTTTCATCAAAAGGGAGGAAAGGAAAGGCAGTTAAGGGCAGAGAGGAAAAGTCACTTGCCCAGGGTCGCACGCATGGGTGGGTGAACTGGATCCTAGGAATCATCTGGAATGGCAAGACACAGGCAGAAGAAATATCATACCAAGGAGAAAGGTACTGGCCTAGTGGAATTCAGGTAAGGACAGCTCATATCCATCAGGTCTAATTTATTTTCTTTGTTATCAACCCTTATGGGTTAGCTCAGCAGTAGCCTGCCTGGTGATGCATCTGGTACTCAAATTATCAAAGCCATTCTTCACAGCCCTTTTTTAGAACTTTCTTAGGACCCCCAAATCCATTAACCCAGGCTTCTCCAACAGTAGTCATCAATACCAGACTGTAGGAAGGTTTCTGTTTTTTTTTTTCCTCCTTTCAAGTTTGGATGCTATTTATTATCAAACCTCTGCTTTTATTAGCGGCTTTGAGATTAACCCAAGAATGCTTATGGGGCTTTGTTAGAAAATGAAAGGAGATTATGTTTGCTCTTTTAGTTCCAAGGTTAATACAAATGTGTGTGTATATATATATATATATATATATGTATATATCTACATAGAACCTTAATTAGCCAGCCAACTTTAATTAGGATAACAGCTGTTTGTTAAGTATTCATATTGTTAAAATGAGAATAGAAATATCTCTATAAGCAGATCCCACTGATTGATAATGGACTTTTTTTGGTTTTCATGCTCTTTTGTTCACAGAATATAAATTTTTCTTTCTTAAAATGTTCATTAAAAATATAAACAGCAACTGTGTGCATGTGGAGCGGTTTTAGCTTTCCAGTACACTTCTGTATCTGTTTTAATCAACACAGTATTTTGTAAGCAGGTAGATACCATTATCTACTTTGATGTAGGAAGAAATTGAGTTTCAGAGAGGTTAAGTGCCCTGTGTAATGGAAACAGTTAATTAAGAGCAGTTGTAAATACAAGATCTGATTTGTCAGCCAGAGAATCACTTTCCATTCTTACTCTAACAAGAAGCATCTGTCACTTTTTCTCTTGTGTTAGAGTGAGCTCTATATTTGTGTCTTCCTAGACTGCAACATCTGTGGAAGTCAAGAGACTGCATGTCAGTCCATTCAGACTGCATTGCTTGAAATGACTTGCTCCTCTCTTTCCTGGATCTTGTGTTAGTCCTTAGAGGTGAACTCCTAGATGGATGGCTGGGAAGAATTACACCTTTGTGACAGAATTCTTCCTGACTGCATTCACTGAACATCCTGAGTGGGGCATCCCTCTCTTCCTGGTATTTTTGAGTTTCTACCTGTCCACTCTGCTGGGGAATACAGGAATGATCATTCTGATCCAGAAGAATCGTCGACTTCAAACCCCAATGTACTTCTTCCTCAGCCACCTTTCCTTTGTGGATATCTGCTACTCCTCTGTCATCATCCCCCAGATGCTGGCTGTGCTGTGGGAACACGGCACCACCATCTCCCAAGCCCGCTGTGCCATTCAGTTCTTCCTCTTCACATTCTTTGCTTCCATTGATTGCTACCTCTTGGCAATCATGGCTTATGACCGCTATGTGGCTGTGTGCCAACCCTTGCTTTATGTCACCATAATGACAGAGAAGGCCCGTGTGGGCTTGGTAGGTGGGGCGTATGTGGCTGGCTTTTCCAGTGGCTTTGTTCGAACTGTCATAGCCTTCACCCTTTCCTTCTGTGGAAACAATGAGATCAACTTCATTTTCTGCGACCTCCCTCCTCTGTTAAAGCTCGTGTGTGGGGACAGCTACATCCAGGAAGTGGTGATTATTGTCTTTGCCATTTTTGTCATGCCTGCCTGCATCGTGGTGATCTCGGTGTCCTACCTGTTCATCATTGTGGCCATTATGCGGATCCGCTCTGCTGGAGGCCGCGCAAAAACGTTCTCCACCTGCGCCTCCCACCTCACTGCTGTCGCCCTCTTCTTTGGCACCCTCATCTTCATGTACCTGAGAGATAATGCAGGCCAGTCCTCAGAGGGGGACCGGGTGGTGTCTGTTCTTTACACGGTGGTGACCCCATTGCTGAATCCACTCATTTATAGCCTAAGGAATAAGGAGGTAAAGGAGGCCGTCATGAAATCTCTGAGAGGATCAAAGGTCTCAGAAAGCTCCTAACTGGGCCTTAGGAAACAATGCTACAGCTCTGGTGCTCTGTTTTCTTTTTTTCTCACAAACCACCTCTACTTTCTGACTTGTTGTTCTATGTAGTACTTATCATCCAAAATGTTAGATGTTTTACGTGTTTGCTACTGTCTCATTTTCACTACTGGAAAGCAGATGGATGAGACTAAAGCATTTTCTGTACATTTAGCACATAAAAATCATTCAGGCCATATTATTCCCAGGATCAATGTCTGTCTTTAATTTCAACTTCTTCAGTCCTTAGTTTCCTAAGTGACAAGTGGGTTAACCAAATTTATAGGAGTATATTTTTGAGGATCCAATGCATGAATGGATAGGCACTATGGCTATCTCATTTACTAGTATTTCCTGGACATAGTAGATTCCCTGGCTAGGTACATGATGAATAAAAATATTTGGAAAGAAAGCATGAAGTGATCTACAAATACAGCTACTGTTTTGACTCAGAGGGGTTTTCCAAGTTCATTTTTATTTTTTAAACATATTTTATTTATTATTTTTATGTGTGTGTGTATATATATATATTTCCTGCATGTAGGTAAGTGCACCCATGTCATACAATGCCCATGGAGGACAGAAGAGGCTGTCGGATCCCCTGGAACTGGAGTTTACACAGTTGTTAGCTGCCATGTAGGTGCTGGGATTCAAACCTGGGTCTTCTGTAAGAATAGTGTTCTTAACTGCTGAGCCATCTCTCCAGCCCCCAAGTTCATTTTTAAAGATTTATTTACTTTTCTTTTATGTGTCTGCAATATGTATGCTAGTGCACTGCATGCCTGGTGTCTGTAGAGGTCAGAAGAGGGAGTTTGAGCTCTTGGAGCTGGAGTTGTAGGCAATTTTGAGTTGCAGTGTGGGTGCTGGAAACTGAACCTGGGACTGCACAAGAGTAGAAAGTGTTCTTAACTGCTGAGCCATCTCTCCAGCCACAAAGAATGTTTATCTTTTTTTTTTTTTGAGACAGGGTTTCACTATGTGGCCCTGGCTAGCTTCAAACTTGCTATGTAGACCTGACTAGCCTTGAACTCACAGCAATTCATCTGCCTTTGCCTCTTGACTGTTGGGATTAAGGGCATGTGCTACCATACCTGTTATTATAAATACTTTAGAAATATGCCTTACTGTTTTTGTGGTTTTTGAATGATAACAGTAAAACTGTAGTAATAGCAGTAAATAACAGTGAATGATTTGTTGAACATTATAACTTTCCAGGGAGTATGAAAAATTTGTTACAGGAATTGTATTGCTCAATATTCAGCTGTTATTGTGAAGCACATTCTAATATTCCTACTCTACATATGTAAGTGAATGAAGCACTTAAGATTTAGAGAAATTAAGTACTTTTCCCATGGCCAGGAAGCACATGGTAGAGTGGGGCTTTCAGCCAGCCATGGCAGGCTCTTAATTGCTGTCCCTATTGTCTCTGGCTATGATCTATTACCTCCTCTATATCACTTACCCTGGAATTTACTGTTATTGTATGTATCTTTTTCCCTTTTATCTGGTGAGAAAGGTGAAAGTCTCACCTGTGGAGGTAGGAGACAGTCAACAACACTTATTTTTATAGCCCATAAAAGCTCGTATTTTGTAATGTGACTCTCTCTCTCTCTCTCTCTCTCTCTCTCTCTCTCTCTCTCTCTCCTCTTTCGTGTGTGTGTGTGTGTGTGTGTGTGTGTATGTGTGTGGTTGTATTTGAGAATGTGAGGCATGTAGATTAAAGAAACAGCTTCTAAACCATAAGAACTTTCACATTAAGGACATGTAACAAGTACTTTAGGAGAGTTTGGTGAGCGTACTTAGGAAAGAAGTGTGGGAAAAATTGCACTTTGGGCAAAGACCGTGGAGTCTACTGGTGAGTTTTTGTTTCTGTTTTTGTAGAAATCACTTAAACTGTAGAATGGGGTGAAGTAACTTCACAAAGTGTCTCTTGGTGGTTGTTTCTTTTTACATGTCAACTGCCTGCCAACATTCCCTGACATATCAGCTTTGGTAGTGAGTGTTAGATGTGTTTGTGTTGTAGAAGTCGCAATTTGGTACCAATCTGTCCAGCTTGGTACTTGTTAGCTCCATGGCTTCAGAGTAGTGGCTACTTACAACTGACTTTTTTTTTTTGGTCTTTTTGAGACAGGGTCTCCCTGTAGCCCTAGCTATCCTGGAACTCACTATGTAGACCAGGCTGGCCTTGAACTCACAACGATCTGCCTGCCTCTGTCTCCCGAGTGCTGGGATTAAAGGTGTGCGCCACTACACCTGGCTACAACCGACTTTTTATTTGTGAAATACCTAGGCCAGATAGGTACTCATCTCTTTTAGTCACATGACAACTTGGGACACATGGAGAATGGGAAGGTGCTTAGTCAGTTCAATCACTATTAAGGCATTATTACAATGATCATTCAGGCTCTGGACCATAACAAATAGCCATGAGTGGAGGGATCCTGGAGGATCTCTTTATACCTGAACTATCTGGAACAGAGTAACTTTGTATGCAGATGCTTTCAGAAGCAGAAAGATCATTAATAATTCTTTAACTTAACTCTGAAAGCTAACGCATCCTTACCACACACAAGGTACTAAGCTAAAAGCTTTCCACGAATTTTTTATTTTAGTCCTATGGAAAACTATAATCAAACATAATTGTTATTGACTCCACTTAGAAAAAGAACCCCCAAAACAAACAAAGACAGAACTCAGATTCAGAAAGGTACACAATTTACCTAAGTGCAGCAACAGAAAAGTGGCGGATGAAGTAAATTTTGATCTCAGGTCTCGACTCTAAATGCCTACTCTTAGCTGATGTCTGGCCTTCTTCCACTCTCTGTTCTTTCTCCAAGGCCTCCTATACTTGCAATTTTCTTCAGTGATATCAGGGTTTTAGTTGCACTCCTGGTCTGGGTGCTTGGTAGAGGTTGGCTGAGGTGGGTGCCTCTTAGGGACCTGCATAACGTGAAGATCATGGACTTTGGTCTTCTTGTAGGTCAGTGAACACGATCTGGGAGATTGTTTAATTCTGAGAGCGGGGTTGGCTCTACTGTCTTCCAAAGTCCTTCCAAAATGCTTCCTAGGTTAAAGATTCCTCCATAAATAGCTAATCAGCACTGGATCACCAGGTAACCACCCATCTGGCTTGCCTTCATTTCTTTAATTTTCCTCTAGTCTTTTCTTCCTCCTGGTCTTAAATAATCTCTTAAAGAATTCAAGATTATTTTACAGATGTTGATTATTATTTTCACTAGTTTATAGCATTTTAAAACTTTGAATTGTATACATATGTCAGTCATTATTTCTGCATTATGTACCTATCTATTATCATCATATTACTTAAGGCTGTGCCTGAAATACTTTCTGACTTACTATGGTTTTAAAATTTCTTTATTGAGATTCAATTCACATGTAATCAGCTGTACATATTTAAGGTATAAAAATTTAAATTTGATGTATAAATATACTTAGAAAACTATCACCATATTCAAGAGATGAAGACACATGTATGTACATGTGCATAACTCATGCTCCTTCATGCTTCTCCCATGTTCTCTTTCCCACTTCCTCTCCACACTCCAGGGATCCAGACATCTGCTGTTTGTCATTCTGTGTTAGTTTGCATTTCTTAGAATTTAATACAACTTTTGCACAAAAGGAATAATGTATGGTTTCCTTAACAACATAATTATTTTAAGAATCATTTTTTTTGCATATCACTAGGTCGTCCATGGTTATTACTGCATTGTATGGTGATAACATAACTTATTTATCCACAAATTTGTTTATGAGCATTAGGGCTGTTTCTATTTTTGCTTTTAAATGTATTTTTATATGTTTTTAGAACATTATGCATGAGTATTGTATTTAAATCATTTCTATCCCTTCTCATGTTCTCCTCCCCACTTACTCTGGATGTTGTGACTTCTTGTTTCTAGTTTTAGGGGAGCCTTGAATAGATACATGGTTTCTGTTCTCTTATGTGAACACTTGGAGTGAAATGGTTGGACTGTAAGAGATGTATATACCTCCCATTTTAGGAAATTGCTGAATTGTTTACCAAGCTAGTTGTATTACTTTACACTCAATGCTAATCATTCATAAGAATTCCACTCACCCCAAATCCACACCAAAACTTGGCATGGCTTGATTTTGCTTTTAAAAATTGTGCTAACAATAAATAGCATGATATCATCCTAGTAATTTATTTATTATTTTTTAAAGCTTTTTTTCAAATTTAATAACCACACGATTAGAAGAAGCATTTCATTACAATTTTAACATACTCAGTAACAATTTCCAGAGCAAGGCTACATTTCTTTCAAAAGTGGCTGTAAATTTTTAGGTTCACAGTTGAATTAATACAGTTATACAGTACTGAACTCAGTATAAACCTTGTAAGGCATAAAATTGAATGAGTTTTTAACCTTTAAAGAAGATCTCCTTTTCATTTTAAAATATGCTATTTCCTACATTTAAATTTTTTAATTTTTTTAACTTATATTTTTAAACTTTAAAAAAAGTTTTATTATTTTTATGTATATGCATGTATTGACTGCATGTAGGTAAGTGCACCTGTGTTGTGCAATGCCCGTGGAGGTCAGAAGAGGCTGTTGGATCCCCTGGGACTGGAGTTACGGACAGTTGTTAGCTGCCATGGGGTGCTGGGATTCAAACCCCAGTTTTCTGCAAGAACAACCAGTGCTCTTAACCACTGAGCCATCTCCCCAGCCCATTTCCTACATTTTTAATGCTTCTAACACTTAAATATTTGCACATGTATCTGATTATTACTAGTCACAGTCGGTTACACTCAGATCCTTGGCAACTGAGTATGGATATAATGTCATCAGGAAGATTTCAGTGGTAATGTTTATCACCTCTACTAATTAACATGAAGTAAATTTTCATGCTTCCTCCTAAAATATGTCTTCTTTTTAATTTGTTGCTTTTTTGTGTGTATCTCATACAGAACATCCCACACAATCTTATTC